TACTTAATTAAACCTCAAGAGCCATTTCTTGCTCCTGTGGACCTCGGGCGGAGACCAGAGGATATGAGGGGGAGGGGTCACCTCCTCCCCTCCACTTCCCACCTCCAAGAGACTTACCCCTACACTGAAGGAGAGGAACGTCTTTGACGGCCCGATACTCAGGACTCATTCAGTTCCTTTTGTTGTTCCTTGTATATACGTGTGGATGTCCTTTGCTCTTGCCACTTGGGTGGACCCTTCTCTCTCTCTCTGGTCAGTTGTCTTTACATTGTTAATATACCCTTGTTCCTGTTGTTGTACCATCTCGTATTCCATTACGTATTCCACCGGTACTATCATAATAGAAGTCAGATTATAATTAACAGCACCCACATACGGACACGTCAGGAATGCCCACACTCCACCCATCCAAAAGACTCATATCTCGCTCGGCTGTAGCCTCATCCGCCTCTCCCCTTACAGAAAAACCTATTTGGTATCATCGGCAAATTTACTCATCATACCTTCTACGCCTAGATCCAAATCGTTTATGTAGACCAAAAACAGAAGTGGTCCCAGGACCGAGCCCTGAGGGACCCCGACCTCTGTCGACGCTTCACTATTTACCATTACTCGTTGCTCTCTTCCCGTCAACCAGTTACTGGTAACCAGTTACTCGCTCGTCCTACCCTGGATCCCATGCGCCTCCAGTTTAACACGCAACCTCTTGTGAGGAAAGTATTGAAAGCTTCGCTTTCGCGAAGTCTAAATAGACGCATCTAGTTCCAATTGTGCAAATGAGCAGTCTCCTTCCATGAGAGGGGACGAAACTGCAGCATGTAACGGTCCCCTTTCCTTTTGAAAGACAAATGATTAAACAATATTATGCTCTAAAGGGAATGAGTTAAGAAAAGATTTATGCAGGTGATGGAAGAAAGAATGTAAGGCATGAATGCCCTCATCATGCTGCCCAACATGATGAGAGCATGATATTTCTCTCAAACTGCCATCATTTTTTCTCCACTTTTCAATTTGGAGCACATGTCTCCATAGTTGAAGAGCACCTGTATCTATGAAGGAGAAGAGACTAAGAAGGTTTAGTGCTCTCTCATGAAAGCCCACTCATGACAAATTTGAAGCATCACTTCCAGCCGTACCCTCACACTCTCAGCTTAAGCTTCATCACACAGGCAGCATCAACGTCTAGTCACCTGGGTTGGAACATTTCCATACTTTCTTCATAGGGACAATTCTTCTCCTGTGCGATGTCAAAAGAGCGAATGTGCAAAGAAACGCGCCTGACCTCAATGGAAGAAATGTTTGAATGGCCCTCCATGTGTGTCCTCCTTGGATCGCCCACCGAGGCAGCACGTCAGCAAATGCACTGGCGCACTTGTTCATTTGACGACTTGTACGGAAACAGCTCTTATTCAGGTTCAGAGCAGGAAATTTCATTGAAATTTTCCTAAAAACACCTATATATATTGGGTATGACACACTGCAAATTTCAAAACGATGCTTGGCATGGTGTCCAGTCTGCAAGCACACAAAGTTCAGGACTTTTTTGGGCCACCCAGTACAGTGCTGTTCAAATGTCGAGCGTATGTCCAGTATGTCCAATGGATTTATTTTTGTTAAAAATTGCTACTTGGGGAGCTTTAATTTCTGGGAAAAATCAAGATCCTTCCGTAAGTTCACATATCCCAGCCAGTCCCATGGAAACAACCTGTCACTTATACTGCAGTTTCTATCGATTCTCGATCATTTCCCGGTGTTTCTACCATCAATGGTCAAATTATTTTTATCTCTCGTTATGATCGTGGTTTTTCAGGGGAATTACCTCATCGGTAAAGATTTATTTCAAATTTCTCACAAAATAATTACAATAAAAAGTAGCATGAGGCAAATGTAGAAGACAATTACTTCAAATTTTTTTTGGAAAATTCAAGCATCATTGGGCTCTCACTCGTAAAATATCATGGAAACCCATGAAAAATTCAATGAAAGCTGAGGCGTTTCTCTGTAGGTCCAGATCATGCGGCTTTCAGAAAAGGGACTGCGCCTCTCTCAAGGGCGTCTTTATTGTCTAGAATGAAGCGATTGAAAGGGAGTTAATAGGTCATCTCTATTTTCCAACGTCATTCCTTTCGGGATTAACACGTTTTACTGCCATGGTTTGAGACACGCTATGGCTGAGCCACATGTGGATGACATGGCAGTCAATGTTTCAAGGCCGTTTCCCACTCCCACTTTGGGTGTCATATGTGTCCTTGGCGTCAATGTTGGGTCAGGCAGGCAGACGCACACATGCACACGTATGTCCACAGAGTTCAAGGGTTGTCACAAAATGCAGGGCTTACATGTGGAATTGGGATAAGTTCGATCGAAAAATTAAGCCTTGCGTTTTCTGAAGTTAGGGTACACGCTTGCAGACATGTTTGTGCGCTTACGTCTGCCTACCCGTCCAAGCATTGACGCAAAGGACGCATGACATGTAAAGTGTGAAAAGGCCTTCACTCTATTCTCATCACGCAATGAGGCAGTATGTACATATTACAATAGCCAATAAATCTTTGTGCTTCTAGTGCTTTCAATGGATGATCTTCAAAGAAGGATACAATTTGGAGAATTCGGAGCATATAAATGCCATATGCTAGCTCATCCTCTATTGCTAAAAAAAAAAAACCACCCAACTGTCCGTGGGACGAAGACACAAGTGATCTGACTGCAACAACACCAGATCGCATGTCACCATGGGACCTTATCCAAACAGGATATCCTTTTCCACACAGGTGATCTGACTACGACGACACCAGATCACCTGTGATCTGGTGTCACCGTGCGACAAGCCACCTTACCTGCATCGGAAAATACGATGTTCCATTCAACTTCTTGCCCATGGAAATGAAGGTGATATTTTTCCTGCATGAAACATGAAGAATAATCCAATATCCCGCACAGCAATCAGATCTATTCATTGCAATGATCCAATTTCATTGAATTTTTTAATATCATCGCTTCTTTGTTAATTTTTTTTTACATTGATACACGACATGCGACATCGAGGTCAGATTACATAATAAAGATGTGATTAACTAAATCGACATTGTTTCGCTAATCATCAGAAAATGTTCTGGGATCGATGAGAATTTGTGGGGTATGTACCACCCACATTATCGCCCGGAAAAATTATCCGTTTCGAAACGTCTTCGTGCCGGACTGGAAGCCTTCATACCAGGCGACACACCAACTATCAAATCGAAGAATTGGATTCTATGGTCGAGCAGAACAGTGGAGGAAGTGTGAATGGTTGTGAAAACTCACATAGTTCTCCCCAAATTAAATTCAACCCAAATTTCCGTTCATATTATTGACGAACTCGAGAGTGTCTTTCATTATTAACAGGATGTTGAAAGGAAATTGCAGTTTTCCTGCGATCACTAATAGATATCACTTAGAACCTTGTAGAATTCATTCAAGAAAGCCAATGATTTCCTTCGCAATTTTTCCTGCAACCTTTTCGGGAAATTTAAAAAATCGTCATGGCATTACCGGAGGGGAGAAAGATGACCTTGACAATTCCAAGCATATCCCTACCAAGCCATAAGTGCGCCACAGAACAGTATGTGTAATCGTTGATCCTGAAACTGCAGCCTTGAGTGCACCAGATGATAAGGACACAGAATGCGACCTCGGCTGGATGTTATCTCACAGGTGCTAAATACAGTGTCAGAAGATTGACACACTTGAAATTTACTGGAGAAACATGATCATCCTCAATTTCTTTTGTAGTTTAATATTCTGCAAAATTTGGAGTTTTATCTGCTATGAAAAAATGGGAAGTAGCCTATCATGCTAAGGTTGTGGAACTGTTTTCGCAAGAAGCTCATTTGTATAAGCAAACAGAAAGCCGAATCCTCCACAATGAGAAAATGCCTCCAATAGAGTGTTGCAGAATTATCACGACGAAAAATTGGTCAACAGAAGTGGTACATTTGAAATCGAGAAACTTCTGATAGGAAATGCGAAAGTGAAAGAGATAATTATTTTGAAGCGTGGTTAGTCGATGGGACCAGGCTCGAAAATTTTAGAGACCCTGATCCTGCGGTACGGGATTTCGCCGCATTTGATGAATGATTTGGGCCTTTAGATCGAAGGTGATGAATCATGACTCCGCACTCCTGAAAATTTTTATTGAGATAAAAATTGTTCCTTATACGTTTGCTTCGAATGGAATAGATATAAAATTAAACTAGATTTCATTTCCCAAAAATACTCATCGCCAAAAAAGTCACACCAAGGAGTTGAGAGATCGTCATGAAATTTGGTAATCATACTCGTATTAGTGCGTTATGAAATTAATGTTAGTTTCAAGGTCGTGGGTTTTAAATTCACAGAGAAAACTTACTAAACATCCCAATTTAAATGTGGTCGGAAGGGTCGTACTTATCACCCACAAAGAACATCTAGAAGGAGTTTAGTAATGAAATACAAAACAGGAACTTCTACTGATGTTTAGTACAATGAAGAAAAGTGTAAAGGTCATAGGATGAAGCGATGCAGGGAAAGCTAGCCGAACTAACCGAACGCTGGATTGCATGCTGGTACCCATTCCTCAAAGAAGTCCTTTGGCCCGTCCCCAGCCACCATCACGCCAACTAACCGACCTCGATCGAACTGGCGAAGTTGGCGAAACTGCCTTTTTGAACGTCGTCCAGGCATGGGTTTAAAGCCCAAAAATAAAGGATTGAAGTAAATCAGTGGATGAAGGGAGGGGAGAATGGAATACATGATGGGAATTGCAATGAGGAATAGTAATATGTGGAAGAGATAGGAAGTAAGGGAAACGATGAGTAGAGGAGGACGGAAGCGAGGGAAACGTGGGTTAGAAAAGGAGGGAAGCGATAGACCCGCCCTATCCATGGACATCCAGTATATAAAGGGTTTCGTCCTTGCATTGAGAGATGCAGTGCTATCGCAGCGCCCTTTCTGACCATGTGGTTAAAAGCAGTGTTGCATTCACTGGGTCTCGCCCGATCAGTAGCCTCCACCTTCCCAATTTTTCATTATAAAAGCCCCGAGTCTTACCCCCCTCTTCTGCCTCCACAAAAGAAAAAGCATCCTTATGAAAGAGCCAGTTGGATTTCCTCCTTCTTTGTCTGGTGAGAATTTATCATGGATTTTATTTGATACTCTCTCATTCGTGAGTTATTAGTAGTATTTGTAGTCAATCGAAGTTAATCAGATACAGAATGCTGATCCGGACCGCCACAGTGGTACAAAAGACATACATTTTTGGGCAAAAGTCGTATTTTGAAAATGGAAGAAGAAAAAATCGTTCGTTACCGATAAAAGTTACAGATTGAAGTCCTTATCCTGTATCCCTATTTTTTCAGGCCTTCCTCTGGTCCTTTATTAGCCATTACACTGTGCAAAGGTCAATGATTCAAACGTTTCTTAAAATATAGGTACTTGATGCCAACTTGTGACAGTAGTTTGTCGTGTACTTAGGTGATACCACTGTTCTTGTCGCTGTGATTTCAGTCATCTGAAGGTGTACCTAAAGACGAGTCTTGTTTATTGTATGTATAGTTTTACTCCTGATGTATATGTATAACTCATGTTATTTATTAGATCCTGTGTAGTTGATTGGTGAACTACTTCTAACGACAAGGTAAATTTATCAAGTGAATTTGAAATACTTCTCAAGATTTCTCAGAGATTTCCTTATAGACGAATGAGTATCTATTAATGAATAATAAAATCAGCCCCTAATCTCCTGCGCCCAGCTGTGCCTAAAGTGAGGAAATTTTTTTGAAGACCACTTCCAGCCAATTGGCATTGCTGTCTAAAATCCTCCGTCTTTCTTGAAGCCTTAGCACAACGAACCCAACGACTTCTGAAAAGCTTGGCAATTCTCAACAATTCACACTGCCCTGATTCGTGAAAAACTTGGCTTATTTTGTAGCGTGCTTGAGTGTGTTTGACCAACACAGAAATGACACTTGAGTCGGCAAGATCAGCTTCGTTCATCTCCCTCATGGTGGAGTAGAGGTATCTCCGGGTAAAATGCTTGGGCATTCTACCCGAAGAAATTGCGAAACCAGCAATATGAACAAAAATCCAAGCTTTAGGCACAACTGGGCGCAGGACATGAGGGGCTGATTTTTTTCTTCATTAATATTAGATAGGTACTCATTGGTCTATAATGAAATCTCTGAGAAATCTTGAGAGGTTTTCAAATTCACTTGATGAATTTACCTTGTCGCTAGAAGTAGTTCACCACTCAACTACACAGGATCTAATAAATGACATGAGTTATACATATATGACATGATACATATGAGTTATACATGAGTTATACATGAGTTATACATCAGGAGTAATGCTATACATAAAATGCGTATACATTTTATTGAAACACGATGTACGCAACGAATATGTAACGATTTGCAACATCAATGGAATGTTCTTTTGCACCATTTTGCAACGTTTCTATTCCAGACATTTATATAAATATAGGGTGAAAAAAAACGCTCTATGGGAGAAACACAGTTTCATAAATGCAGCAAAAAAATTACATAGGATACGCGATGGATAGTTGACAATTACAAGGTGTTGAAATACTTGCCAGCTTTTTTTCAGCACCTCTGCCTAAGTCGTGCAATGCCCATTTAGAGGTGAATTAAAGGTGCTTAGAGGTGGATCATTCCACCTCAAGTCAGGTGAGCTCGACAGTCTCAGAATTCAATGAACTTTTCAACCTTAACTTTTTAAGGGACAGTTGGATTCAGCTGATAAATTACTTGACAGAGAGGTTCATGAGTCTAAGAATTTTTTTTCACTTTCGCAAGATAGCACTGTATCCCGAAAGACGGCGTTGTTGTTGACCAGATGACCGAGGGTGATTAAAAAGAGGTGTAATGATCCACCTGTAAACTGTGTAACGGCTCAGAGATGGCTCAGAGATTTGTTCAGAAAAAAAAAACAAGACAATCTTCTCATCACCTCCTATATGTCCAATATCAAGAGTTTAATGAATCTTATAATTTTACTCGAATACACGAATCGTACTTTCTCCCCTTTGAAAACGGTGGAGCTTTTTTTACATCACCCCCGGTCAACAACAGCGCCCTCTATCGGGATACAGCGCCATCTTGCGGATGTGAAAAAAAGTCTTAGACCCTTAATCTCTCTGTCAAGTATCAGCTGGATCCAACCGTCCATTGAAAAGTTAAAGTTGAAAAGTTCATTGAATTCTGAGACGGTCGAGCACCTCACTTGAGATGGAATGATCCACCTTTAAGCGCATTTAATTCATCTCTAAATGGGCCTTGCGCGACTTAGGGGGGCTGAAAAAAAGGTGACAAGCACTTCAACACCTTTTAACTGTCAAATATAGATCGCGTATCCTATATTTTGTTGCATTTATGAAACTGTGTTTCTCCCATAGAGCAAAGGTAGAGCGTTTTTTTTAACGCCTCGTATATATTGAAGCAATAATGTCCATCAAAATTTCCTAACGTTGCTTGAATACCTTGTGTTACTTGAGGAGTGTCCCTGATGGAACCAAGACCTCACCGACACGTCTGTAATTTTCGCGATTTCTACATAGGTGGATGAACCCTCTTATGTGGCTTGGGTCCAAGAAGGATTTGGAATTAGACGATCTGTTCGGAGTTCCACAGGAAGACGAATCGGAAATTTTGGGAGAAAAACTTCAGAGGTAAGCTCAACGGTTTGAAGTGCTTCGAAAAGGGCAGTAAACTCAACCAAGAGTTGTCCATTAGTCACACGAGTGTAGTTGCTGGAATAAAGTGACAGTAGTCAATAGTTTCAATGAGCAATCTTTTCCAAGTGGCAGGTTTCGTGGGTTTCGCACAACTGCCTAACCTCATCCTTATCTGTCTTCTCATCCGCACTTATCTGTCCTTATCTATCTTATCTTCCAAAATGACCGATTGTGATGACGTCCGAATTTTAATATAGACAATGGGAGAGGGAATTGAAGACCGCGAACATCTTAGACGGCCACTTGGACACGGGACAAATGACGAAGAAGGAAAAGCAGAAGATCAAAACGCCGAGTTTACTGAAAGCTATCATCAGGACTTTTGGAGGGAAGTACGCTCTGACTGGGATCCTCGCCTTCATCGAAGAATGCGTGTTGAAGTAATGAAAAAAAAAAATTTCCTTAGTTCTCCTTAAATACAACTTGGGACGATCTTCGCTGCAAGTCTGGCATGTCCAGGTCTAGAAGAAACCTTAAACGCATTCATGCGTCCCAAATGGCAATTACGTGACCGGATATGATTGTGTGCTGTCCCACATCCCTATTCTCTCTAATCATTCCATCAAGGCGTTGTAATGATACCGATTGAGAGTGAGGAAACCTTGAGAAATTGAAGTCAATCACCATTAGAAAGGACAAAGAGAGGATTATCGCACCACTTTCGAAATTGCTTTTTATTTCCAGGGTGGCTCAGCCGGTATTCATGGCTTTGCTGATCCGATACTTCTCCGGGAACTGGAAATATGGAAACGAGACATATTGGGGCTGGCTATTTGGTACCGGTGTCATACTATGCTCACTTCTATACATTTTTACGCATCATGCTCTCTTTTTCATTATCGGAAGATGCGGGATGCAGATCAGAGTCGCGTGTGGATCCATCATCTACAGAAAAGTATGCATTTCCTCTTTCTTTGCTTCTTCCTGGAACAAGGGACATGGCTCATCGGAAGTTTCTATTCCTCCTGAAAGGCGTTGAAACTGAGCAAATGTGCACTGAGTCGAACGACCTCGGGTCAGATGGTGAACCTCCTATCCAACGATGTCAACAGATTCGACCAATCGGTCATTTACCTCCACTATTTGTGGATAGGACCGATTCAGGCTATCATCTCGACAGTAATCCTTTGGCTCGAATTTGGGATCTCCTCCCTCTCAGGCATTGCTTTCCTCATCCTCTTCGCGTCTTCTCAAGGTTTTCGTCCAGCCCCTGACCCTTATTATGCGATTAGGAGCCTAAGTGTTGTTTCAAAAGCGGATTAATATTTTTACAGGTCAGATGGGGCGGTGGTTTTCCCGTCTCCGTTCGATGACTGCCAAGAAAACAGACGAAAGGGTTCAACTCATGAACGAAATCTTGAATGCCATGAGAGTAATCAAGATGTACGCGTGGGAAAAACCTTTTGCCAAAATGGTCGACCTTGCTAGAGAGTCTGTTACGTTCTCCTTCCCTATTATTGCTGTTATCACCCTTGGGTCCAGGAAGGAAAAACTTGATTACTTCCCTTGCCAGGAACGAGATCAATGTCGTCAGAAGGACGTCTCTTCTCCGGGGCATTAACATAGGCATTTTCTATCCTTCGTCCAAAATCATTCTCCTCGTCAATCTTATCGTCTATTTGGTGCTCGGCAATGAACTCACTGCTGCAAAGGTATTTTATCCGAAATTGTCCATATAAATCCCATGTTAGGTCTAGAACTTATGACTGTAGAAAAGTTTAGTTAGATCCATGTCCCAACGGCGTCCATGTCCCGAAAACGTCGTGGAAGTCGTCATATAAGTACGAATTTCAATTACAAAGGAACTCATGTCGACGAAACTTCTGGCTACGTTACAAATGGATCATGATTTTGGGCTTTTGACTTCTCGCAGTTCTCTTCAGCTTTCTCAGGTTTCCGATAGGTTATTTTTAACTGGTAAAGTTTCTCCCCATGTCATCATGATGTGCTCTTATAAAAACAAAAGTTCATATAACGCGCAAAATCCATTACACAATGAGCCTAAATTTGAATGACCTACCGTCACCTGAATTGTCTCATTATTCGTACATCCCAATCGAACGTCTTGATCGTCTTGATTGGGTGAATACTGACGTCCTGTTCATGCCGAGTTATGTTTTAGGCTTGAGATGAAATATTCCATTTAGTTTCACTGATTGAATAAGGCACGGACATGTCCTTTTTATGAATTCCTTCAAAGTTAAATTAAGCTGAAATATAAATCCAGTCGAACTCGGTTATAACGTCATTGAAGGGACCAGGAAAATATCGTCGTCATAACCGAGGTTGCCTTTATTGACATTCCATTTCCCTGTAAAATGGATGCTATACTACGTATATAGGGTGTCCCATTCATCGCGGACGATTTTAATCGCGTATAAAATTCTTCCTACTTGAGCAAACTAAAATTTTTTTTTCACAATATATAGATGTCTGTTTAGCATTTATTGTAACAAAGTTTCAGTCAAAACAAATTCACCAATTACAAGCTATGAACTTTAACATGACCCCCGTCGATTTCAAGCACTTTTTCCAATCGTGCCTGGTATTCAAGGACCTTTTTTGGCGCATTTCAGCGATAATGTCTCCAAATGCAGCGGTAATACGTTCCTTCAATTCGGGAATGTCCTTCACTTTGGTCGCATAGACTTTCGACTTGACTAAGCCCCACATGAAGAAGTCGCATGGCTTTAAGTCAGGAGAATAGGCCAGCCAGGGCATTGTTGGTGATTCACGACCCTTCCATCGATCCGGAAACTGGTGGCTGAGAAGTGCCACTCGGTTGGAACACCTGTCTGTCTCATGATGGCACAGGTTGAATACATTTTTCCTATCTTTTTTTTTTTTAGAACAAAGCAGATCCATCAGAGAAGCAGGTGATTTTTCGTGGAAGAGAACCAAATTTTCCCTTCAGGAAGTCAGGATGCGCCGATCTCGTGTTTGATTTTCCGAATGCTCCAACTTTGTGGAAGTGGAGTCAGGACTTTTACCTTCTCACTTCTCTGTGGATGCTCGGAATTATTCTTTCAATTGGCTAATTATTTCATTTTCTGTTAGCTTTTGATCATCCCTTCTGTCAACTGATTCCACATAAGGTACATTAGGAAGATTCCTTTCCAGAACACCCTCAATCTTCTTCAACTTCTCCTCTGGATATTTGGCTTGTGTAAGCTTCCTCTTGACTAATAATGGAATACAAAGTTTGATCGATGAATTCTAGCGTCCTATTTTGTTCATAGGAGACCTCTTCAACTACGTTAGTATGGCTCCTTAGACTAGGCTCTCGTTGACTTGACATTGATGGTGATGTACTCGAATCAGTTCCTAGTAACACCGATATTCGGGCAATTTTCTTCCTGCAATCATCACATATCTTGGCTCCAAGTCAAAGAGAGAAGAGTTTGTTTCACATCCATGGCAAGACTGATCTCAGATTCTTCTTGGATGAATGTTTCGCTTCGCTGGTAGCAACAGTCGTCCAATGCGGTTCATCTATCTCTCTCGTTTCCCAATCAGGTACAATGAGGACGAATAGCACATAACATCATAAGGTGATGCATAACAACTGAGACATAAACTGGCAAAACAATGCTGAGGGAGCCTGTACATAACTTAAGGAAAGTGCAATTTCTAGAAATATCTGATGAGATCCTGGAACTTTGGGATGCCAACAAAACCTTCCAGAACGTTCCACCATATTTTTCTGGAAGCTTCGAACACTTTAATAACTTACTAGAATACTCCTGATAGTTCAGACAACTCTATTCTGGCAAAATTTTGCTCAAACTGGATTTATCCAGTTTGATTTATCCAGGGTATATTCTCTTCGGATTTTTGGTCACTTGTTGCTACATTATTGCTCGTATCTCCTGATTCCATGACAGTCCCAAGTTGAAATCTCGAGCACTAGTGCAGAAGAAACTGGCACTGATATGATAATTTTTCTAAGGAAATAAAATGAATATTTTCGTAATTAAAGGTCAAAGGTCAAAGGGCCTGACCTTTGACCTTTATTTTAATTGAATGTCTTTGAGTTACATATCATTTGAATGGGGATAAAGAGACCTTTAAAATGACACTAATATCAGCTTTCTATATTGATTAGAACAAACGTTATGAGCATTTAAGTGATGACGACTTAACCCAAAATTGGTCACTTTTTGCTATTTTCAAATTGCTACATCTCTGGAAGTACTTGAGGTAGAGAGCTGCAATTTGGCACGGAATTGGCTTTCAAGATCAGCAAATTTAATTGAATTCGGAGGAGGTCAGGTAAATTTTTTTTGGGTTGATTTGAAGTGGAATGACCCTTCACTATCTAATTTTCCAGATTATGTAACAGCTGAAGGGCTATGTTTTGAATGGCAAGGTCAACCGCTATTGAAGGGCTAGCACATTATTTCAGCCAAGATTTGAGAAGCACTTATCGTGAGAAGGGAATCACTCAAGCATTACCACCAAATAATCTCATCCGTAATTATGTAGTCATACGTATCAGGCTCATTCTAATGAAATCATCCTGAGATCCTCGATAGCTTACAATGCCATCTAGCTTCACTTAAGAACAGTGGCTCTCAATCGATGGATCACGAATAAAAGAAATGAATTGAAAGTAAAAGATAGAGAAAATTACAGAGAGATTAGAGAAAGCAGAGATCGATCATGGGTGCCAAACCGAACTACAGGGGAATATTATATGAGCTTAACTTTCCAAGTACGATTTAATCTACGGAGAAGTCTTGCAGGTAAGCAATTCAAGGAAAAGGCCAAAAGGTATAAAATGGCATTTTTCTCATTCTTCCTCTTACCCTTCATCTCCAGTCATCTCCTCGTTAGTCTAACTTTCTCTGTGGCTTCTCGGTGTTGTGGTTTGGGGTGAGGCTATTTTTGAAGGCAAACAGAGAGATATTTTCTTAATTTCGTTTCTTTGCTACTCGTGCTGATAGATTTCATTTGCTCTTTATTTGGGGAACTGCATAAATTTATCTCAACTAGAAATTCCTATTACTTAATTAGTTTTAACATTTAAATGCAGATAGATCATCACCTGGTTAGACTAAATGCATGTGCTGATACTATTGGTAAGCGCCCCTGGTGAAGTTACTGGGACAGAAGTCGGCTTTCGTTCAGCAAAAAGTCAAAACCTTTAGAAATTTGGAAGAATTATGATTCTTACCTTCAGTGTGGTTACACAGAATCAGAAAGTATGAAACTATTGTAGAATGCAGAGTTTGCGGTGAACTGCTGGTCCATGAATCCAAGGGTGCTTCAAAATTTAAACGGCAATTAGATCGAAATCCCACAAAACTGGAAGTTAAACCAGATATGTTCTTCAAAAGGAAACAGAAAGAAGGAAATATACAAAGGAATGATGAAGGATTTACCTATGCCGAGAGCAATATCTTGAAAGCATTATTCTGTACTAAAAAATTGCACTTAATGTTTTCGAGTCACACAAGTTGCATTCTTCCTGGACGTTTCTGCATTTGTAGGTCAAAGAAATATGGGAGGAGGAATCTATGGGTAGCGACATGAAAGAGGATAAGAACCACTGCTCTAGAGAGCTGAAAAAAAGATATGGCAGTACCAAATCTGAACATCGGCTCAGCGGTCTCCATCTTTCTCTACCATCTGTTTTCTTAGACAACGTTCAAAATATATGTATACTCGCGGGAGGGTAAATGAGACATGTTAAAAATAAAAAGTAATACAATAGCTCTACTTTCCTTAGGTGTTCCTCGCTGTGGCCGTGTATAACAACATACGAATGACCATGACCTATTACTTCCCTTTTGGGGTTGCTCAAGCAGCGGAAGCTGTCATCTCTATCAAACGACTGCAGGTCAAACTTAGTCCGGACCCTTGTAGTAAGTACTGTTGAAGCCAAGAAACAAATAAAAAAAGATGTCCTTTTTCCGATACAGGAATTCCTCCTCCATGAGGAACTAAGGAAGCCAAACCACTACTTGGAATCCAGTCCCAATGTCCTCTGTGATGCGAATCTAAGAAAATCTACAAAAAATTTGGTCAAGAATGGAAATCCGGGAATCGAGATGAAGAATGCAATAGCCTCATGGACGAAAGGTCAAGACAGCATCGTCCTCAAGGGCGTCTCAGTATCCGTGAAACCTGGCCAACTGGTTGCAGTCATAGGTCCCGTTGGCAATGGAAAGGTATAGGCTATATTTCGCAATTTTTCATCTCTCTGGTGGACAGAAAGCCCGCATTTCTCTTGCCAGGTCTGGATGCAAATTATTCTTCCTCATTCTTGCCACATTCAAGGTATAAGCGCTCTTTTAAAAGAAGCACTGAGTTCTGATGGTTTTTGTGCCGATAGAGCGTTGTACCAAGAAGCAGACATTTACCTGTTGGACGACCCATTGTCAGCGGTAGACGCTCGTGTAGGACGACACCTATTCAACAAATGCATCATGGGATACTTGAAAGACAAGCCGAGGATATTGGTCACTCATCAGCTTCAGTTCCTCCAAAAGGCAGACGTCATCATCGTCTTATCACATGTAACATCCATCACTCTCATCGATACAATTCTAGGTTTCGTATAGTTATTGAGATATGTCTGTTCCATCCACGCAGGGGAAAGTGGCGACGAGTGGCACGTACGACGAACTGCTGAAATCAGGAGTAGATTTCACGAAATTGATGGCCAAACGTGAGATTTCTCAACAGCTAAAGGAAGAGCTGTCGTCGACGAGGAGAACTAGAACCTATACTAATGAAAGCTTGCAAAGTCTGGACTCTCAGACTTGCATGGAGGAGGGACCTCCAACGAAAGTAAAGCTTTTCATATTTGTACCATCTCGATGTACAGTAGGATATTTCGAGAGTCCATAATGCGAATTCGTAACATCGTGTACAGTTAGGAGAAAAAGACACTACACCGACACTCGCAGAAGAAATGAGATCTCGTGGGAGTTTATCAGGAAGGATATACTGGAATTACCTGAAGGCAGGTGCTGGATGGTTCCTTCGCCTTCTCCTAATTGCCAGTTTCATTCTCACTCAGACTGCATTCTCGGGCTCTGATTGGTGGCTCTCGTACTGGTTCGTGCTCCCTATCAATGTTTCTGCCTTCCTCTCGAAGGAAGTCACTTTGAAGTCTGGAAGGGAACACATAACTTGCTATTGCCTCTGTTTCCAGGACTAATGCTCAGCAGGAAGCAGCAAACAGAACCAATGGTTCAACAGTGGAGATACTCTTCGGCAATCCACAACTGGATCCATGGACACCTATGTACATCTACGTGGCGATCGTGGTAGCCTTGTTTTTACTTTCCATCTTCAGGACGGTGTTGTTCTTCCACGTCTGCATGAATTCTTCCATCAACCTTCATTCTCGCATGTTCAAATCTGTACTTCGAGCCCCAGTCACCTTCTTCGATAACAATCCAGTTGGTGAGTCCCATCTTCACATTCCTTTCTCCGAGAGGCCATCGCAATCGCCATTCGTGTCGAACCAATGAATAAAACGAATGTGTCACAGCTGATGCACAATAGAGAAAATTTACTTACGCTCCATGTTGCAGGCCGGATCCTGAACAGATTCAGTAAGGACGTCGGAGCATCAGACGACGTGCTACCTCCAACGGCTTCCGCCAGTCTCGGAGTAAGATTATCCGATTCACTGTGTACTGGTATTGCATTATCTACACTGTGCTGCTTGAATTGTCTATCCGCTCCAACATTGCTAAGTCGACTTTGCCTGTTTTTTGGTTGCTCATTTTGTGCTGCCACGCGCTTGTCAAAACGTCGGAAAAGGGCTTGGAGACTGTCAGTGCTCCTGGCACTCCTGAGGCATTTTTTTATTTAGGATTTCTAAAATCGTTCATAAATGATGCCAGCCTCCTCCGCCCAGGAGCGGTACCCTACTGGAAAATCTTATGAGGATCTCAAAAGGAAACCTCATTAGATTCTCATGAGGTTTTCGGACAGAGGTCTCATGAGAATGACCTCATGAGGTTGACTTCATGGGGTTCTTGCAAAGAGACGCCACTTACCTTGTGGTACAATAGCTAGGAAATGTCTCTTGGGACTCAGCTTCCAAGGTCCCGCGTGCCCTTTGAAGAGACGCAATCTTATACAAAAAGACAAGGTGTGGTTACACAACTGTCATCTATTCCATCCTTAATACGTCATTCCAGCCTGTAGGCCAGAATTGTTTGAAGTCTCCCTAAACTGAACTATCTCTTCGGACAAGTGTTTTTAGAAAATCAAATTTCTTTCATTATGTTCAATGTAGAAATAAAAATGCATACAACTCGCTGAGTACAGGAGAGATGTTCCAGTGAATCAGGGCTTTAATCTCATCAGAGCGGCTATATAGTCGCCATCTCGCGTCGGTTGTGCATTGCAGAAAAAACTTCGTAAGAACCTCATGAGATTTTCGAACAAGAGGTCTCATGAGGCCTCGATCCTCATGAGGACGTTTCAAAGCTTCATGAGGAACCACACATTCCACATGAGAAGGTCGTGAGACCTCGTTAAGTACCTCATGAGGATTACATCATGAGGATTTCCTTATGAAATATTCGGCCAGCCTTATGAGAAAGTCGTGAGGTCTTATGAGACCTCATGAGTTTGTAATGAGGTTTTTTCAGCAGGGAAGGCCACTGTCAGGCAAAGGAGTTAAAAGGAAATCACCCTTTCCCCTCCGGGGAGAGGAACACATGACATTTAATGACTTATTGAGGATTAAAAGTGTAGCAAGTTTGGCCCGCGTAAATTACGCTGATGACCGTCAAACATCATTGCTAACTAAGCAAACCTCTCATATTTCCATTTTGCTCAACTCTGGAAGCACTGGTTTCCTTGCTCGGTATTCTAAGGAAATCCCCTACACCGCTTTTCATCTCATTATCTGTGTGAATATAGGAGTACTCATTCACGACTAAGCGGCAGATTCTGAACCATATCTTAAGGGATGCGGGGAATTTGGAGAAGTTCCCTCCTCAGAAACATGTAAACACAGATTTGCTGAACATTTCAAACCGCTTCAAAAATTAATGAATTAGTTGCATGTCACTGGACTGTTTTTCTCTGCTAAAGACCATATTCATATTGTTGGAAATATCGATAATGATACTGATTTTTAATTCATGCATAATCAGTGATACTCTGCTGTCAAATTCCTATGCCATTCTGAAGTTTTCCACACGACATAAGATGTCAAGTGGTTCGGAGTCAGTACGAAAGTTCATAAGATCACATAAATCAGGCGATTTTCGCTTATATACTGGCATGATATTTTCCAATCTGATTCTATTCTGAATGCATGCCTTGCGCAACTAACGCCATATTTTAATATTTCGTGTGATTATCATTATGCCTGAGAATTCTCTTGATTCTTCGTAGGTATTGTCCCAATTACTAGGCATCACAGTTCTGCTCTGCATTGTCAATTACTATATCGTCATTTGCACGATCGTCGTCTTGGCGGTCTTCAGTTTCATACGACACTTCTATCTGAATACGGCCAGAGATCTGAAGCGCCTTGAATCCATCAGTATGTTGACATTATGCCGATATCTCTGTCAAATGCTCCAATAGATCGAATGTACACAGTCTGAGATCTGAGATAACTTTTCGCACTGTTTGACGTGCTTCTTGAGAACAGCCTGATTTCACCTAAGACTTTCCTAATTCATGGAATAAAAAAAAAAGGTTTCAACTAAAAACATAATGAACCATCTTTCTTAAATATCTCCTCTCAAACTTCCAATCACAGCACGAAGTCCGGTCTTTTCTCATCTGAGTGCTTCCTTGAACGGGCTGGCGACCATCAGAGCTTCGCATGCCGAGAATATCTTCATGAAGGAGTTTGACAAGCATCAAGTGAGGCATAAAACCAGTATTTTGCTTTCGTACTTGGTTACAAGAGAGAATATATCCAATGTCTCGATCTCTCGATTTCACAGAATCTTCATACTTCCTCATGGTTCCTTTTCCTATCTGGCACCCGATGGTTTGGTATTTGGTTGGACTGGTTAATTGTCGTCTATCTGGCTGCAATCACCTACAGTTTCATGGCAATTAGTGAAGGTACTATTAAGAAGTTCTTGTAGATTCTCTGCATCCAACTAGATGGAGATAATAGACAATGACGAGGTTTTGGAATCGAACAGAAGCACTAGGTGGGGATGTGGGGCTCGCAATATCCTCGGCAATTATGCTGACAGGGATGGTTCAATTGGGTGTACGACAGAGTGCAGAATTGGAAAATCAGATGGTATCTGTGGAAAGAATCATGGAATATTCCCGTTTGAAAGAAGAGGCGGCCCTTGAATCTCCCCCTGGTAACCAATTGACATAATGTTCCGCCCTTTCACATCCCACTGAGGAAGAAGGTTTGAATTTCGCATATCTCTTGTTGCAGACAAGAAGCCACCTTTAGGCTGGCCATCAGAAGGGCATGTGAAATTCGAGCACGTTTCCCTACGATATGACCCTGACTCATCGCCGGTGCTCAAGGACCTCACATTCACAATAGCGGCCAAAGAAAAGGTGTGCAACTCAACCTTAAGAAATCGTCAATCCTCCTGCATGAGGAAGAAGGATGCCATAATCCTTTGCCCTTCCACCCTTACACCTCGTTTCTAGGTGGGAATAGTGGGGAGAACAGGAGCAGGGAAGTCATCGCTGATAACCGCCCTTTTCCGTCTCACGGAACCTGAGGGTAAAATCCTCTTGGACGGAAGAGACACCAAGGCAACGAGCTGCTACAGAATGAGAAAGGCTTTTTCTCTGAACTGGTTGGCCAGACAGGACCAGGAGCAACAAGACGGCTTCATCTCGCTGCCGCAAGGGTGAGCCACAGCCCTAACATAGTCTATTTCCCCCATTTTCAAGATCACAGTGGGTGAGGGTTCGTGGATTGCAGGCACATGCGGAGAGGTATCCAGAGAAACTATACATTCTTCCTCCATCTCCATTGAGAAGATAAAGTCGAGGATGATGATGAAATGAAATCAATTTCTGAAGACGACGGAGTATCCATTGAAGTAGCAACCTCCAGCCTTTTGTAATTTCTTTGGATAAATTTAAAACACGACGGACCTAAGCGCGAGTACTTTTATCCCCTCTCTTCTCCTCTTCCCCCTTATTCACTGGTGCATGATTTGACAAATTCAGAGTTTCTTCAGACAAATTCAGGAATTACCTTCCTTCAACGATTCGCATATCCTTTTTGCAGAACGTTCCCATCGACGGCATACTATTTTTACATTGTTTATTCGTACATTGTACATTTGTACAACATCCGTTAAACGGAACGGGAATAATTTACAAGAGAAAAAGTCTGCTGATACATACGAGGGGTGATCGGAAAAAAAAACTTTACAACCAGAGTCCAAGGTGTTCGTATTCATTGCAACCAAACGATACAAGTGCTGCATAGAGTGCTCACGGGGGCATCCTTTTCCATATAATCCTCTTGGACATTGAAGAAATTTTCCCACCGTGGTATATGACATTCAATGACGGCAGCGTAGAATTCCATGTCTTGTGAAGACGGCCATTTTTGCATATCTTTCTCCGCCTTAGCATCCGACCAGAAATAACGGCCACCGAGACTCTTCTTCATGAACGGAAACATGGAAATCGCTTGGTTGAAGATCAGAGTTGTAGGGTTTGCGTTGAAGGACCCCCCACCCCATATTCTGCAGCAACCGTACTGTCTGCTGCGCCACGTGAGGACGAGCGTTACCATGAAACAAAAACCCCTATTGTGTGAGACATCCTGGCCTTCTTCGTCGGATTGTTTCATGCTGGTGATGCAGAGTTGCAGAGAACCCATCAGTCTTCCTGAATTAGTCCATCAACACGAATGGCGTTTCTTTTGTTGAGGAAGCGCAAGGCCTGCCACTGCTCTCCTTGTTCTCGTCCTCGACACTCATTTACCCACAGTAAAATTGCCTCCACCATGCGGCTACCAATTGTCTGGATGACATCTCATCCCCATACACCTCCAACAGCTGGCGTTGAATTTCTGTAGCGGAGGGGTGCCTGACCCACTAAAAAAGATCTGATCACAGCCGACCATAATAAAAATGAGAATTAACCTGCAAAATGTGCTGAAGATGCTTAATAAACTTACAGAGTAAGCGGAAATCCAGGGACACTAATCAATAAGGATGAGATCTAGCTGAAGGATCACCTTCAATGTGAGTCTTTCATCGCATTCTTCTCTATCACATATTACAATTGTAATTACCTGGCATAAATGGTTTTTCTCTGCTCCAGTATTGCACATACATGGTTGCTATGAAGTCACCACCCTATTTTGATTGGCCATAAATTTTCAAGGGACATCCCGATGTAGCTAATATTTGACAGAGAGGTTCATGAGTTCCATTTGTTTTTTTACATACCACAAGATAAGCAAGCCTAGAGGGTGCAGCAGTCGACTGCAGTGCCCCCTATTTACGTGCAACGCCATTTTTCAGGTATGAAAAAGATGCAGTTTAGGCCCATGTTTACTTTTGGCAAAGATCAGCTGCGTCCGAGAGTAATTTCAAAAGAAATGGTGACAAAGTTTAGTGGTGACCTGTAACCATCAAACTAAATACGTTTTTCATCGTTGCAATCTATGATCCATACAATCTATGCTCCTTTACTTTTCGCCCGTCAAGATGTACAACTATGTGGTGGGCAATGAAAAAAGAATTATTTAGGCCATTGGACATCTCGGTCTAATGTCAACTGCATCGGGTAATCCCTTTAAAAGTCATGACCAAATGTAATTGAATTGCTACAGGTCACCACTAACTTTTGCTTCACCACTTCTTATGAAAGGACTTTCGGACACAGCAGATGTTCGGCAAAAAGAAAAGAAGGATGTAAAAGGTATTTTTTTCATACCTGAAAAATGGCGTAGCGCTTAAGTAGGGGACGCTGCAGTCGAATGCAGCGCCCTCTAGGCATGCTTATCTCGTGGTATGTAAAAAAAAAGTGGAACTAATGAATCAAGGCCAATCAAAATAGGGTGGTGACTTCATAGCAACCACGTACGTGGTATGTACTATATTGCAGCAAAGAAAAACCATTTATGCCAGGTAATTACAATTGTATTGGGTTGGAAAGAAAGTCTTGCAACACTTTCTAAAACTATTTATGAAAGTTTTCAAAGGAATAATGGGCATTTGTATATGCTGGAATGTTCTGGAAGCTCCTGCCCTCGGGGTATATAAGGCGGCTTCTGCCATTAGTTGGCAGCCATGGCTCCGATCGAACAAGCAACTCTTCGCCCCATCGTCTACTACGAGTTCCTCCAAGGACACTCTGCGAGAGCCGCCGCGGATCTGCGCTGCATTCAAGGGCAACGTCGTCCACTATTCCACAGTGTCTCGATGGTTCAAACGCTTGGAATCTAGCGGCCCGACCTTCGGAGATCGAACACGCTCAGGACGTCCATCTACAGTCGATGACGAAGCCCTGCGGAACGCCCTCAACGCGAAGCCGAACGCCACCACTCGCGAATTGGCGACTTCACTTGGAGTCACCCATATGGCCATCGGCAACCATCTGAACGACCTCGGCTATCGGAAGGTTTACTCGACATGGGTCC